AGAGAGAGAAATTTAAACATATTCATAGATATTATGTTACGTTGATACTTCTGTAAATATCAGAGATTCTCAAAGTATGGATTGCTCCTTACTTATAACTTATTGATAGGTCGACTTGTATTTGGCACATGTATGATCCTTGGAACTAAATCATGATAATGTGTATTCAAATAGCAAGTGTGAACATGTAAGTTAACTCGATGATGCTAAAAACCTGCCACATTTATAATGGTTCAAAACAGACATGTTTCGTAAACCAAACTTTTAACATACATAAAACTATTAGTCTGTTTTCTGTTCCTGCACTAGATTCTACTAGAACTCTTTTTTTCGCTTTTGAAAAATATCAAAAATATATCTTTCTCACTTTAAGTTCCAAAAGTGCATATACTAATTGAGTGACAAAAAAACAGACCTTATGTTTCATTATAGGTAGGATGTAAGTAATTAAAAAGGTCGTTGTATTTTAAAGACATGTTTATTTCATGATAACACATTAAGTACTTATAAATAATGAATAGTACATTCCTTGAAAAAAAATCCCTCGAAATGTATTCCTTTAGCATATGGCTACTTATGCTATAAAAATAATACATCAATATCAAAATATTTTTTCTTTAGTATGCCTGTATTGACTTAAAATATCAAAAGACTATATTAACTAAATTAATTTTAAAATAAAACCTTAATATTAGTGTAGCTAATTCTTAATATTTAACAATTAATCAATATACGTTTATATGGACTTATTCCTGCAGTATTGGTTTCAATAATACCTGCAGCTTTGCATGTGTAGCGTAAAAATTACTGCCAACAAGATTAAATAAAACCCTATTAACAAAACCCTATTAAATTCATAATTACATATATATGTTATATATATATATCAAGAATATACATAAAAAAAATATAACTATTATCGACTATTATTTTAAAAATACATTTTAACATTTATCTACACTTCCTCATTCTTTCTAAACTTATGCTATGTGTTGCCACTTTTTTATAAATAGTGACCAAAGGAATAGATATTTCGTAATTTTAACCCTACACTACACATATTAAGTAAAATTTATTCAAGTGTTGCACTTTACATTCAGTCATCTTTCTTACTGTTTGGCATATCTATTTAAAAAAAAAGTTCTAAATCGATGTGTTCTAGACAAAGTCTTACACAACAAAATAGACAGCCAGGTGTCTTTTACCCGAGTGTAGTAGATTCCAGTGACAAATATAATGTAATGGTCTAGGATTAAATCTAGAATTAATTGAACAATACTTTGAATGTAATCGTTAAGTTTTAAATGTAAATATTGATTATTAATTAAATTATCGTGTAAAATGTAAATGGGTTACCACAATACCACCTTCTCTGCTACATTAATATACATTGCTTAAATTCGCCGAGTTTAAACATGCGCACTCGACTCAATTTCTATCTTCCAATCACATATCAACGATGCTATTTTCAGATTTAACAATGTAGAAGTACCTTATGCTCTTATCTGTTTAAGAGCAAAAGATTATATTTTATGCTTATTACTGTAAAATTGAGTGGAAACGTTCAAACTCCATAGATTTCAGCAATGTAAATTAAAACGTTCCACTTGCCATATTGTACCTTTATTGTCATATATTGTTATATATTTCTTACCGAGCAATTCAACAATTGTATAAAACTAAAAACATAACATATTTATCACTTACGTTTCATCGTTATCTCAAATTTATTGCCTGACGTCATTGTCTCTAAATTTACAATAGAATATATAGATGAAACAATATCCTGATTATAATATTCTGAATATATTGTATTAGGTGTACAAAAAAGTTCTGAGCTTTTTTTTGTAAAATTCATTTCCCATCGTATGTAATCGTACGGAAATGGCTTGCTGCGTAACGCCAAGCTGTTCTGCAAGCTCCTTTTCAGTTTGCGCAGAGTTTATATCCAGCAGTGCTTGCAATTCGTCCGTTTCAATCTTTTCAGGGCGTCCAGCACGCGATTCATCTTTAAGACTGAAATCTCCTTGGCGAAACTTTTGATACCACCTTTTGC